CTCAGCTTTAAAAAAAAAAAAAAAGGAACTCGAACCCTTACCAATATCACTAAAGCATAAAGAGGAAAATTGATGAAAGAGAATGTTGGAGAAGCAACCATGGCAAAAGCTTAAGAGACACATACAGCAATGCTTCATTTATCCAAGGTTATCAGGAAAGGAGCATAAAGTTTTTACTCAAATAGCTCTGGGTGGGAAAGCCAACCCCATTATTTTTCTGTAAGATTTCTCTGAGCCTCCGTTTCCTCATCTGAAAAGCAAATAACATACAAATATCTACTTTAATAAGTAGCTATGGGGACAAAAGATAACAAATAAAATAACTGAGAGCCAGGCCCGGTACATTTTCTGGGTCCAATAAATGTTAATGACTTATTTTTGCTATTGTAGTTACTGCTAATCAAGTTTTCTCCCATTTATAAATCTGCAACATAATTGAAGCTTATTTTCTCAAACACTACATATTTTTCCTTATCTAATTTTAAAGTGAATTCTACAAGTCCCCCAACCTAACAAACATGAAACTTACATCTCACATATACAGACGGCTGCACCTGTCTCAACCCCTCCACGAACCCCAACACCCTTTCGCAGCCACCAGCACAGCTGTGGAAATACCTAAAACTTCTGGAATCCCTGCATTTAAAAATGGAGACAGAAAAGAAGCCACATGAAGATAGAGCTACTTGGAATAGTGTTTCTTTCACAATTTGGGCAAAGAAAGAGGAACGGGCTGCTTAGAGTGATGGTTACCACCCAGTGAATAGATGGGGTTTTCAAAGCATTTTGGTGTGTTGTCTCCTGTGCCCAAGTCCACCAGCAACCGTGACGGGCCATCTCTGCTGATGGCTGGCCCATGGCCGGCACCCTTGGATACATGGTGCTTGCTCATGTCTCCGGAGCTACCCTTTAAGCCCATCTTACGATCATGAGCTGGCTTCCACCTACCTCCCAGTACCCCTTTCTACAATACTATGTTGACCACACTCCACCCAGGGAGCACACCAGGCACTTCCCCATCTCCCTGCTTTGGTCTTCGCTGTTGTCTCTGCCTGGCCATCCTTTTGCCCTCCCCGCCTCCCCTTACCCCATCTCACCAACCGTCAAGCCTTAGTACAAACACCACCTCCTCTCTGACTTCCTTCTTTCCGACAGAATGAAATGCCATGTTCTGCAAACTGCCCCCGCCCTTTGCTTGTTTCTACTGTTATAACGACCATGTGCTAAACAGAGGTATGTGGCGAGCATCATTCTAGGGGCTTTCTGTATGCTGTCATGTAATTTTCACTACAAACTTGTAAGAAATTATCATAAACCCCATCTTACAAATGGGGAACCTGAAGCTCTGAGTTGAGCTCACCAATGGTCCCACGACAGGAAAGGGACACAGCCAGAATTCTAGCCATGTTCTGAGTCCCCAGATCCAGAGTTTTCGCTCTGCCATGTTGCCTCTCTTTGATGGCCCTATTTCGAGTTGGTTCATTATATACAGGTATGCCTGTCCTGTGGAATTACAGAACACCCCTTGATGACAGGGACCAGGGCATGTTGATCTTTATAAATGTGGATAATAATGTATTAATTTATACAATGTTCTTAAGAGAATTAAAAGAGACAACACATTAAAAGCGCTTAGCATAGTACCGCGCAAAGAAGAAGTACCAAATAATTTGTTAGTTTTGTTGTTGTTACCATGCCAGGTGCCAAGAATAAAGCCTTGCACATAAATTCTGAGCTGAAGTTTATTTCTGAGAAGAAACTGAAATGGGTAAGGACCTCGTGGAAGAGCCAAATGCTACTTTGGGCTTTTCCCCATATTATTTGACTATTTAATCAGAAGCAACAAGAGTTGCATAGTAGCTTTCTTAAGTTTCTATGATAGGGTCCATTGATTTCTTTATCTTTCTACCCTCAGGTGGATGTTAGGAAAGCTTCCTAGTTAGTTCAAATGTTTTGCAGCATTGTTACTTTTTTGCTGCCCTCTCCTACTGGATTTGTGCAGGTTCCCCTCTGACAAGTCAATGCTTAACAAGTTCTGAGCTAGGAGAAGAAAATCACAAAGTTTTACAAAAGTAAAATGGAAGTACAGAGGGCAAAATGTATTCTAAAATTCTGGTGCTTATAAACATAGTGAAACACTTTCTTGGATCCTCATAGCATTGAACAGTGCTTTAAATCGCATTTCTTTACTCGTTTGTTTCTGTCCGTCGCTCCCTAGCAGGAGATTAGCTGTCTGAGAGGAAGCAATCTGTCCATCCTGTTCACTGCTATCCCGCAGGGCCTAACTCATACCTGGTGCATAGTAGTAGTGACTTATATATTAGTCAATTGATCGCATTTATATGTATATATGAGTATATACATATATATGTTCATGACATTATTCCATGGTTTATGAATAAATGTGATCATATCCCCAGACATAACTGCATAGTGGACATTTATGTACATATATTTGTATTTGTGCAGAATATGTTTCAGACTGGAAAACGCGGATGCCGTTTTGCAAAAGTTGGTTCTCCTGAACATATAAAGGCTTCTGGATGACCGGTCTACTATTATTGAACAAACATATGCTACTACCTGCACACTAACAATTCAGATGGAAAAGAAAAACAAAAACAATGGATTAAAATGGATTTAGACATAAAGAGTTAAAAATTTTTTTGACTTAACAAACTATAACACTGTTACTATCTTTTTAAACCCCCCATCCCAGTTCATTAGCTTAAGTGTGAGGGTATATGAGAGGGAGGCAGCCTAAGGAACAACAAACTTTCTCTACAAATCTGGCAGGTGAAATGTTCCGAATTCATATGGGCTGGCAAGATGTCCTTATATAAGTTGTAATCTATACAGAGAATTATAACAATTATAGCAACACCACTGACTAGGTAAATGTGCCAGGCACTTAGCATCAGTTTCTTTTTTATTATTTAAACCTTATACCAACCCTGAATGGTTGGTGTTATTATCCCATTTATAAATTAGGAAACTAAGACTCAAAGAGATAGAGTAACTTGCCAAAGATACTCTACTGTTTATCTAGTCACGGTACAGACTAAAAATTCAGGGTTCTACTCTGAAACCCAAACTCTTTTCAGTAAGCAACAATGCCTCTTACACAGTTGTACAGGCGGTAACTTGGAGGGATATGTGTTTAGGCAGTTTTTGTAGAGTAGGCATTGTAATAAGTAATTCTCTGCACATAGAGGCTAGACCAAATGACAGCCAAACACACTGAAGGTTACTCCAGGCTACAGACAGCAAGGGGCAAATGTGTCTCCAAAACTATCAGCCTCTGTTTCTCAGAATATGAAGCATTTTCCACTCAGCTGTCCTCCAAAAGAAATGTATTCTCTAACAGGGCTTCATTACTCCTCCTCCTATACAAAAAAGAAATGGACTTTTGTTGCAAACCACTGGGAAGTTCCTAACTCATTCCCTTATATTACTTGACGTGAATGTGCTTTCTGTCTTCAGAGAAAAGAATTGCTGGATGCATGCTATGCCTTTGGGATGCTTTGGGATCCCACAAGCAATGCTGTGGAGGTGAGAAGATTAGTCCTTATACACTTTGAAGGGGAGAGGGGTTATTTTAAACTTAATGACAGCAGAATTCTAAAAAAAGAGAAAAGGAAAGTCTTTCTTCCCAGTTTAGAGGAGAATTCAGCTACCTTTTCCTGAAAGAATTGACTATTATTTCTTAGACCTTCTTTTCAAGAGCAGGCCTGAGATGCGGAGGGAAACAATATGTTTTAAAAGTTTGGTTTTTTTAATTTATAGATGTTTCTGAACATTTGTAACCTACAGTAATAAGGAATGTTGAAATTACCTCTCACCTGCCCATATAATACTTGGAAAGATCCTATGCAGAGCAGAAGAAAGCACTCCCACCCAGACCACTCCAATCACAGGAAGCACCAACTGCAGCAGCAGCATCTGTAGGGATTGAAGGTGAAAGGGGCACCTGGCAGTGGTGCAAGCACAGGTGTCCCCCCCAACCTGCCCAGGGAAGCGGAAAGGAAGGGGAAGCAGCTCTGCCTTCCCTCCAATCCACGCTCAACCCCTGCTGCCAAGAACTTATTTTTAGACTTAAACTTAAACTGGCATTCCCAGAAAGGAAGAGAAACTACAATGTCGGAGTGATACTCAGAGTTCTGGTCTCCAACCTGGTTTTAGGGTTTTTTTTTTATTTTCTGATATCGAGTCCCTTCCTAAAGCACATCTCCCATCCTTCAGAAGGCATCCAGTCTAAGCCAAGAGAAAGGTCTGAGAGCTTTAGAGGTTCTGTAATGAAAATTCCAGCTGTGACCCTTCAAAGGTACATGACCTTGGGGAAGCACTTCATCTTTCTGAAGGCTCAGTCTGTGGTTGGTGAGATGGGGTGAATATCTGTTATCAAAAGTTGTTGAGGCATCAACATAAAAATCACGCAGTACCGGGGTCTCAGTAGGGCATCCGTAAGTGCCCTATGTTTGTTAAGGGCACAGTGCACACAGCAGCGGATGCTGGCTGGGTGCTCATGTTTCCACTGCCCAAGACTTGCCCATTACTCCCTCATTAGTGATTTATGTTACCATCCACTCACGTAACCTCATCAAGATGCCGCCTACCGGCTTCTAGTTCTCTGTCTCTTCAAAAGTCCGCCGAGCTCAAGAGATAAATTCTCATTAAGTGCAAGGGGCAAAGTTCACCTGGGTTCCCCTTCCCACCGGTTATCGGTAAACCACTGAATACAAATCAGGCCAGGGCAGAAACACGTGTGCAGGCTTTTTACACTGGCAAAACAGGTGTCTGCACATCTTTTGGGATAAGGGGTGGGAAAGGACCCCTGACTGAAGTCTCCAGTTTGGGAATGGAAGGGAAGAGGAGTAGGGCAAGAAAGACTGCACGAAAGGGATGCCTCTGCGAGGCGGTCCTCACTGGCTGGTGACCCTGTCCTCGGCGCAGTGGGAGGAAAGGACACGAGTGGGGAGAAGCCGCGAGAGCAGGAGTACCTGAAGAGTCTGGCCGCTGTCTGGTTCCTCCTCCACGCCGTGCCCTGTTGTAGCACCCCCTGCACGATCTCCTTCTCGTTGGGCAGCCGATAGACGGGGAATATGTAGAGCCAACAGAGAACCACGACACAGAGGGCACTGGCTCCCACCGGCAGCCGGGTCCGCGGGAACTTCCACGCCAGTACGGCCATGGCCCCTCTAGACGTGTGTCGCCGGGCCCGCCCGCAGGGGCTCATCGCAGCCCCGAGGTCCAGGGGGGCCACGGGCCAGAGCCTCAACACAACTCTAGGCGAAGTGGCCGCGGAGGGTGTCCCCACGGCCGGCTCCCCATGCACACACACCTTTCGCCTTCTTGCTTTCGCTCGCACTCACGCTTCTTCAGCCCCCACGGCCCCAAAGGTCAGAGCAAGGATTTTTCTTTCTTTTTTTTTTAATGCAACTTTTTCAAGGATTTCTTTCTAGAGGAAGTGGCTGAGGGAAAGTCACGAGCTATGGCCATGGTCGCTTCCCCTGCAGAAGGCGGGCACTGAAGTCTCTGTGAGCGCGGAGAGCGGCGGCGGCGAGACGCTCTCGCGGGTTCTGCAGCATCACTGTCGCCCTCGGCACGGGTCCGGGGACAGGCTCGGCTCCCTCCCAGACATTTGGTCCACGGCGTCCCCTTCTGAGAGATGCTCCTGCGCCCTTCGCCGCCTCTCCCCGCCTCCCGCGCTGCTGCGCCGCCAGGCACCCTCCCCAGACGCGCTCTCCGCGCCGCGCCAAGTCCTTGGAAATTTCCACGGCGGCCCGGGACCGCTATCCCGCCCCGGGCTTTTCAGCCTCGCCCGCCAGGACCCTCGCTCCCCACCCCTCCGGGAGAAGAAAAGAACTCGCTTTCATCAGTTAATTCAGCAGCGCGCTGCAGCCTTCCGCTGCGCCCCGGACTTCGCAGACAAACGCCCGGGGATTGGTGGAAATCAAGGTCCCCCTCCCTCCCCCACCCGAAAATTGCCTCCTTCGACCCGTTCAGATCCGCGACGCTCAGCTGGAGCGTGCGCCCCTCTCGCTCCCGCCCATGTTCTCTGGAGATAGAGGTAAACAATAAAAAATCACCGCCACCCCCCAAGAAAAATTTATATATAGATATATAGATATAGATATAGATATAGATATAGATATAGATATAGATATATCCCTGAGTGTGGCAGAGACTGGCTGATAACCTGGCCCTTCGACACGAAGCCTGCGTGCAAGAACTATCACCCTGCCGCCGTCACCCTGGTCCCTTACTAAATGGTTGGTTATTAACCCGCAGTGAGACGCGAGGAGGCTCCAGCAGCCGCCGTGTGCGTGTGTGTGCGCGCGCACACCCACAGACACACACGCACACACCCTACACACCGATGCTCACGGGCCCGCACGCGCGTGCACGAGGAGATGCGTGCACACCCGGGTCCTCCGTCTCGCCTCCACCCTGCGGGGAAAGACGCTGCTGCATCCAGATGTGCAGGCAGCTGGTGCCCAAGCACGCAAGCCTCCGGACGTGACAATGCCTTGGAGGCGCGTTCGCCTCCTCCGCCTTTTAGGGGAAAACGCTGTTGTTCTTAGACCTCCTTCTTGCTCCACCGACTAGTTCATTGCAATCCAGACCTTGGAAAAACACCATCCGCTTGGACCCGCGGAGCCCAGGGACCCTCTGTTAGCCATTTATTCTTACCTTGGCGGCTGATGCATAGCTTGAGTACCTCCTAGTGGTTGTCTATTCCATTTGCTTAAGCATCTCGTCTAGCATAGAATGTGCAAGGACAAAGAAACGCGACAGCCCCCTAAGGAGGTTGGCTTAGTCTTCACAACACCAAAATCTAAGGCCATAGTTTCATTTGCTCAGCCGACCAAGCTACAGCGCTCAGTGCAACCTAAATGCTATATGGCCTAGTATCTTTCTCCAGCATCTTTCTCCACTAAGAAGTGGAACTTGAGAAGTTGATAGAAAGTTATTTACCAAACAAACAACCGTGGTAGTCTCATTCTTCCAACGTTACTATGCTCTCTTAGGAGAATGGCCCTGAGGGGCAGCAAAGTTTGCAACCCCCAAATATGACTCTTTGGGGTATTGATTATTTTAAGTTGGTTATTTTTCAGGCCCACGTGGCTCAGAAAGAACCTTTGACCTTTCCTCTAACTGCTATAGGGTTGTCAGAAAAGTCATGACATTTTTCTATGTTTTTTGTTGCAAAAATGTGTCGTGACTTTTCCGACAGCCCAATAAAAGAATTTAAGATGGACAGCCTATTCCAGGCTCCAGGAAGAAACTATTATCACAGATAACTGTAGTTTAAGTGGAACTAGGTGTGGCAGGCAGGTAGGAACCTGTGTCCCATTGTATCTAGATGTCCCAGTAAACATTTTTGTACTAAACAGTAACACTTTTCATCTCTCTGTGAATTGTCTTATTTTCCTTTGAAGTCCCAGGCTCCAACCTCCTTGTCCTTAGTCCAGAATGGTATATATACCTCATTTTGCCTTACAGTCTGGAATTTTCACACTTATGTGAATTCCCGTGCATATTAAATTTGATTTTCTCCTGTTAATCTGCCTTATGCCGTTTTAGTTATTGAACCAACCTTAAGTGCCAAGAAAGGAAGGGGACAACTTTCCCCTCCCCTACAACCCACTGCCCTCCACCCTCAAGCATGCCCCAGAAATCTCTCCTACTTAGGTAAATCAGTAGTGAGGGGAAACCCTGAACTCCCCAAATTACATCTTACCACAGTGGAGCCTAATAAAGATTCTTTGAAATGAGGATCACCTGAAGTCCTGCAAAGTAACCAATCTGCCCTCTTCTGTCTGGAAAGGGGGGCAGATGGAAGCAGGAGACCTTTCCCATAGTGACCAGGGCTGTGGGTAAATTATCTGTCTTCTTTGTTCCTATAATTTAAATAAAACACAAACTGCCCCAATTTTTCTTTCCTTTCCCAAGTCCAAGGGATACTTGTGGCATAAATAACAAATAAATCAGCCAACAAACAAAAATAAGACCTATTGCAGTTATGATGGGGCTATGCAAATGTTGCCCCATTTAACCTCATAAAAATGTATCAAGGTCATGCCTTAAGTGAAGGACTTCTGTGATGCAATGTGCTGTTTTTCCTCCTTCTGAAAACTAAAATTATTTTAACCGTTGTTGAATCTTGTGTCACCCTACAGTCCAACCTCATTTCCTGCTTTTCCTTAATGTGAACAATGAATCCAGTCAGGTCATTGTCCTCCCCCTTCCAAGTCACACAGGCATCACTTTTATCACTGTGTTTTATGGCACACCTTCTTTTTTCCATAGGATGTCTTTTCTCTCCCTCCACACAAATCCAATGCATCAGTCAAGGCCAACCCAACTGGCTAGGCATGTCTCCCTTCATGTGTTCCCAGACCAAATAAAACACAGACTTCATGGGGAAGGAACTCAATAAATGTTTGTGCTTTCTGCTCCTGTTCCCTTTGACCTCCTGCTCTGAAGTTCTACAGTATTTGGTGGTTCCAACAGATGATTAAACACTTAGCTGTGTTGTGTTACTAGCATTTTTAATACGTAACTTGTGTCAGCAACTGGGCAGTAAGAGTATTTGGTCTCATATCAAATGACAAACCTGTGCTTTTGATCCAAATGAGGACTCCACATGACATAACCACATATCTGAGGGAACAATATTTCACATTTTCTTCATAGTCCTCCAAATACCAACTCAGGCTTGAGCACATACATACTCAACAAATAATTGTTGTTTGATTGTTTGCATGATAAATTTGAGGGCTGCACATTTGTTCAGGTTGTTCCTAAGGCAGCACTGTTTAAGAAAAAGTATAAACTGGGCTGGCCGAGTGGCGCGATGGTTAAGAACTGGCTTGGAATGCCAGAGGGCCCCGGTTCGGATCCCACATATGAGGGCCAGTGACACTGCCCTCTACAGCTAAGATGCTGAACAACAGCTCAACCCGGAGCGGGGCTGCCATGAGTCGCCTCCAACGGCGTAGGCAGCAGCCCCTGTGGCAGTGGGTTGCCATGGGCTACCGTGTGTAGCCAGCAGCCAGCGTGAGCGGCCAGCAGCCGCAGTGAGCGGCCATCCAGAAGCCGGCGACTTATCTGCCTCTCCCAGGAAGAGCGCAATGATGGTGCCAACTTGGGCCAGTGAAGCAACGTCCTCCACAACTAGACTGAAGAACAAAACGACAGCAACTTGTCTGTTCCCCTTCCCCCAATTCCCCAGCACTGTTCCCATCCTCCCAATTCCCCAATAAAAATCTTTTAAAAAAAAAATATAAACTACCATGGTTTGTTTTAAATAAAATATTTTACCTGATACTTAGCAATGTGATTTATATGACTTTTAGTAGATAATTTATTGTTTTATATTTCTGCATCTGCAGACACAGTATTTGTCAGGGGCTAAACAACTTTTAAAACTCTGTAAATGTTTATTTACTGAACTAGTTATAAACCTGATGTGCAAAGCTACTTTATACCTTAAGTAAATTGATGGGCAGACAGGCCTCTGGTGACATCAGAGCTGTAGTGGAAGCCTGCATAAGAAACAGAACCACCACAGAACTGAAACCATGGAAAAGAGGAAAAGAAGCACCTCTCATTGAAAAGTTGAGAGAGAATAAGATACGGAAAGATGATCAGAGGGAATGGGACACACACAATTTACAAGCTAGCTTGGATGATAATGGGTGTGAATAGAAATATTAATAGTCACATAGAAGTCTCTCATTAAAAGATTAAATAAAATTGTCAATGACTTGAAATAAAAAAAAAAATTCAAAAGTGTCATCCATTCTTCAGTCTCCTCTCAAGTTCTTCTTGTCAGCATGGCTTGAAATGGAGAGAAAAAAAGCATAAAAACATGCCTTTTCCACAACAAGTTACATTACCAAGGCAAATAGGGTTGAAGAATGAGAAACAATATAGTTTATCTGAATAAATGCACTTGCTTTACTCTGTTATAAGATACCTGCATTACACATATGGAGGTATAGCTTTATTGGAAGGTGGACTTAGGTTAACTCAAAACATATATTGCAATCTTTGGGGTATTCACTAAAGAATTTTTAGAAAACAGTATAATTGATATGCTAAGAGAGGAGATAAAATGGAGTCATATAAAATGCTCAATTATAACCAGAGAGGGCTGAAAAAGAGGAGGAAAAAGAGCAACCAATCCATATTGAAGCAGGAAGACAGAGCATCTGAGAAAGGAGTTCTCCCAGAAGAAAGTGAAACCAGAGACCTATTGGTATGTTTGACTGTGTTGAGACTAGATACTTGTGCCAACTAGTTAGGGGCCAAATACTAATAGACAGAGAGAAAACTAAACCAATGTAAAAATGAGGCAATAACTAACTCCAGATAAAACAAAAAGCTTTGAAAGAAAAGACACATTTTCATACAGTCTACCTGTAATCTTAATAATATAAATAATAAACACTGCTTTAACAAAAAAATGTGATACAATGATATTAAGTAAGGACAAGGTAAAATGGGAGGGAGGTGTAAGGTAAAATCTTCACCTTCCTTAGAAACAATCCAATAGATAACATTTTTTTTAAGTTGAAGAAAAGGAAACATAAGCACATTATTTAGAATTATGAAGTAACTACCTAAAGAAACAACAGAAAGAGCTGAAAGTAATTGCCTCTGTGGAGTAGGGAATAAGGGACGGAGCAGGTAGAACTATTTATTTGTTTGTTTTTTTGTTTTCTTTATTTACTCTTTTAAGCTATTACTGAACTTCTTAAAATATGATTTCTTTTTCATTTTGTAAAATTTGAAATAAATTTTAAAAAGAAAGAAAACAAATCGGAGGGGAGTTAAAGGATATTCAGGGAGATCGTTGAGTCTGGAATGCTTGGAGTAGAGATTAAGAAAGGAGGGTTGGTTAGAGAAACACTTAGGAGGTAAAATTTATGGCAGGTAAAGATGAATTTG